CTTGTTCTAATTTTCTTCAGTTTCAACTGGAACTTACATTCGAGCAATTGATGCTCTGTTCTGCAGTCAGCCCCCAGCCTTGTTCTGACTGATGATATTGAGCTTTTACATCATCTTTCTACAGATGTAGTCGATTTGATTCCTGTGTATTCCATCTAGTCAGGTCCATGTGTATAGTCGCTGTTTATATTGGTGAAAAATGGTATTTGCAATGAAGAAATCATTGGTCTTGCAAAATTCTATCATGCGATCTCCGGCATCGTTTCTATCACCAACGCCGTATTTTCCAACTACTAATCCTTCTTTGTTTCTAGTTTTCACATTCCAATCATCAGTAATTATCAATGCATCCTGATTGCATGTTTGATCAATTTCAGACTGCAGAAGCTGGTAAAAATCTTCAATTTTTTCATCTTTGGCCTTAGTGGTTTGTGTGTAAATTCGAATAATCGTCGTATTAACTGGTCTTCCTTGCAGGCGTATGGATATTATCCTATCACTGACAGGGTTGTACTTCAGGATAGATCTTGAAATGTTCTTTTTGACAATGAATGCAACACCATTCCTCTTCAAGTTGACATTCCCACCATAGTAGACCTTATGATTGTCTGATTCAAAACAGCCAATACCAGTTCATTTCAGCTCACTAATGCCTAGGATATTGATGTTTATGCATTCCATTTCATTTTTTAAGATTTCCACTTTTCCTAGATTCATACTTCGTACATTCCATGTTCCAACTATTAATGGATATTTGCAGCTGTTTCTTCTCATTTTGAGTTGTGCCACATCAGCAAATGAAAGTCCTGAAAGCTTGACTCCATCCAAGTCTTTAAGGTCAACCCTACCTTGAGGAGGCAGGTCTTCCCCGGTCATCTTTTGAGGCCTTCCAACGTGGGGGGCTCATCTTCTGTCACTATATCACACAACGTTCCGCTGCTATTCATAAGGTTTTTCACAGGCTAATTCTTTTCAGAAGTAGACTGCCGGGTCCTTCTTCCTAGTCTGTCTTAGTCTGGAAGCTTGGCAGAAACCTGTCTGCCATGGGTGACCCTGCTGGTATCTGAATACCAGTGGCATAACTTCCAGCATCACAGCAACACACAAGCCACCACAGTACAACAAACTGGCAGATAAGTTCAAAGCAGAGATAATAAGATGTGGAAAAGCCCTGTCTAAAGATCACAAATTAGAGAATAATTCACAAAGCTAAACTGACAAACAAGTGGTGGAGTAAATTCCTACACCCCCCAAAAACACAAAATTTAGAAAAATTGGTTCATCACAAAAGCAGGGAGGCAATAAAATATAACCTTTATGAGCAAATTCTTTACGGTGTATAATAAAAATTGATTTATGATTTGTAATCTTAAGGGATTGAAAATCCATTTCATGCTAAAGTCAGCAAGATTAGCCAGAGAAGCACACAAATTTAGCCAGAAAACTGGCAAAACATAAAGAATGTGGCTAAGAGGGAATATTTCATATTATATAAGATCACAAAATATCTGGCTGTTGACATAAGTGCATGGGATTGGCAAGAAGAAAATGACCAGAAGCAAATGAAGTTAGAATGAAACTCTAATGGTAAAGAAGCCTAAAATCTGTTTCACAAAATCTTCCTACTATGTAGCTACTAAGGTCACCCATGAAATCCTGAATTTGGACTACCATTAAGCAAGATACAAAAGATGTGCTTTCTCTAGAAAGGACATTCTTACCTTTGTCATCTCAGATAAGGCCATGAAGGGTAATGACAAGGGAGATTCTCTCAGAAGTAGAACAAGGACTATGGAGGACAGTAAATAAAGGGAATTTTTTTAGATAACAGAATTGGCTAATTCTGGAAATCACCTTACTTCCATGATGGGGAATCCATGCTACTCCTGATTACTGGGATATGCTATATGTCAAGACCCAGTGACTACCATGTTTTTGATTTTCCAGTCCCCTTTTGAAAATGGGCATTTTATGTTTGTGTAAGTCACAAACAGATAGGTTTTGGTTGTTGTTAGTTGCCATCAAGTTGGCCCTAACTCATGACAACCTACGTATAATGTAATGTTACCTGGTCCTGTACCATCTTCATGATCATTGGCATGTTTGAGTACATTGTTGCTTCTATTGTGTCAATTCATCTCATTAAGAATTTTCCTCCTTTTTGTTGGCCCTCTACTTTACCAAATATGAGGTCCTTTTCTAGTGATTAGTTTTGCCTGATAACATGTCCAAAGTTAACCAGCTGAGGTCTCACTATCCTCGCTTCTTCTGTAATAGACACTATTAATTACCTATTAAAATGTTTCCATATTCCCCACTTACTCCTTACTAACAGAAACTCCATTTTGTTTTATTGTTTTTATATACACGCACATACAATACATATGTGTATATGTGTATGTGTGTGTGTGTGTGTGTGTGTGTATGTAAAATCGGTCCATGCCATGCATGCTTTGTTCACAACTGTATCTTTAGCACCTAGTCCATCGCCTGAGAGAACAAGAATACTAATAAAAGAAGAGTAAATTATTACATAGAAATTATGGAATATAACTGATCATGCCAAAATGATACATGCCCTATGTTTATGTTTGAAACTATGTCAGATAGGTATATTTATGGTCAAGGACTAGAAAATGATATGCAAAAGAAATACACTAATATTTGTACAAGTGATTTTTTTAAATTTCAAAATGGTTTTTAATGTTGTGTCCTATCAAATTTTCAATAAACAAAAAGAAAATAAACAAAATTTGAGATGTCACTGTATCCTGTAATTTTTTTCTCATGTGTTCTCCACATACCTGCTTTAGGTCTGTGCTAGCTTTCATGACCAGCTGAGTGCTTATTCAGCATTAAGACTTGATTATGAAAATGCATAGCAATCCACTGCATGCTCATAAGTACTAATAATCAGAAACTACTTTCCCTGATGACCTCATATATTAAAGTTCTCTCGCATGGTTTTGGCTAATGTTCCAGATCAGAAGCACAAAGGCAAAACAATCGCTGCATTGCAGAACTACTACATATGGGTACATAGCCCTAACTATAAAGGTATCACATCTTTTTCTAAGGAAGTTATTCTATCTATATGTGGTTAGCACAACTGCATACATTTTTTAAACCTTCCTAAAGACTGTGTAGCATAACGACGACTGCGAGAATGGCACAGGTCCGGTCAGTGTTTGTTCTGTTGTACGCAGGGTCGCTATGAGTTGGAACTGACTTGATGGCACCTAACAACAACAGCAAAGACTGTGTGCTTTATTATGGTGACTAGCCTTTGCAGACTCCAGAATGCTAACAATTTAGGGCCAGAAGCCATTATAATATATCTCAGATTTGATGAAGGCATTGATGTTTGTTGTGAAGAAGAGAAACACAAAAGAGAGAGGGGGCGAAAAGCATCACTTGTCCAATGTGGATAAGGGCAAGAGAAAAGATTATAGGTTAAATGCATTAAAAATGGTGGTGGTCCAGGCTAGAAGGCAATGGGATGACATATATAAAGCCTTGAAGGAAAATAACAGTCAGCCAAGAATTATATATATCCAGCAAAATTGTCTCTCAAATATGATGGTGAAATTAGGGCATTTCCAGATAAACAGCAGTTCAGGGAATTTGCAAAAACCAAACCAAAATTACAAATACTAAAGACAGTGCTACAGTTAGATAATCAGCTAACAATGCAAGACGAGAACACAGGACAGAGCAACCAGATATTGACTCAGATATGCATATCGAAAATACATCAAAGCTAAAACATTGAAAATAGGGAAACAGATATCAATATGTAAAAAA